ATGACCTGCTCCTGTAAAGCCCCAGCTGTAATCTAAATTTCAAATTTAGGGCAGCAATCCCACTAGGAGATAGGGCAGGGTGCACTTGCGTGTAAAACCCCTTCCCAGACAGATGCTGGCATAGCAAAGTAGTATCCTAAAATTTACTGTGCATTTAATAGTGAACCTAACTCCATATGGGAAAGTCTTTCAGGGCCTGTTGGATCTAATGTGGGCAGCATTCCAAACTGGCTCACTGTTTTCTATATAAATTGTTTGTACGTAAATCAAAATGTGCACAATAGAACAAGTAAAAAGACATGGTCCTAACTTGGGTTCCATGTGAATGTTTCCCCAATTTCATATTTCCAGTTGGATACAACAGACTTTAACACTGGTTTCTGAAGAGATTGCTGCATGTTACATCTATGTTCAGGAGTCAAGTGAAGTGATGTCTGGCAGTGTATAATTTGATATATAAATAATGTATGGTTTATTATCTACTTTTTTATGCTGGTTGTAGCAAAGTGATGTCTAGCAAAGTTTAGGAGGCAATGGAAAAAGCTGTGTCCTGGGTAAAATATTCAGGGCCTTTATCATACTACAGCAACCCTCAGTAGGTAATTGATAGGGTGGCACTGGAGTGGTCTGTGCTGTGTCAGACAAAGTCTATAGTTTCTATATGCTTCAGTGAACTGTAACCAAGTTTCCAGCTTGAATTCCTTTGCCCTCAATTAAACTGTGCAAAACTGCCATATGGATGCAGTTTCATGAGTCTCAAATCCAAATGTTAGGCTAAATTTGTGTTCTGAGTAGCAGTAAGAAGTCTTCTTGAGCCTCATTTCCCCTTCCCCTTGCTGTTATCTAGGAGCAACATCTTTAGTACTGGAAAAACTTAAACAACAAATAGATTAGTAGCCCTATAAAAACTAACAAAAGTTGTAGGTGGTATCATGAGCTTTCGTGGGCTCAACCCATTTCTTCAGATGACAGGAGTATTAGATTTCTAGTCCAGCTTCTAATACTGTCATCTGAAGAAGTGGGTTGTGCCCGCAAAAGCTCATGATACCATCTACAAGTTTTGTTAGTGTTTAAGGTACTACTAGTCTATTTATTGTTTTAAGTTTTTCCTGGTACAGACTAACTTAGCTACCCCTCTGAATCTTTAGTACTGGTGAGAGTCTCTCTAAAAAGAAACAAAAGACAGAACTATGTAGCACTTTAAAGGCTAACAACCATCTTGTTAGTCTTTAAAGTGCTACATAGTTCTGTCTTTTGGTTTCAGCCTGACCAGACTAACACGGCTGCATCTCTAAAAAAGTCATTCCATACAGAATAACACTGTTTTACTGATTTGGAATGAATCATTGCTACAGAGGAACAATGTACTCTGTATGTGTTATAGGAACATAGTTGTGTGTGAGCTTTATTGCTGGCACGACTTGCTCGCATGGTCTTGATTTATATGAAGGTGTTACGCTGTTGATGACAGGGAAGAAATGTGCCTCCTATGAAGAGCGTGACTAGCAAAAGCTTCAATTAACCCTCTAGCAAATTGCCTGAAAATGGATCATACACGATTATTTCTGCATCATTACTGTTGTCTCATGACTCACAGAGCCATATATAGCAGCTTGTCTTTTGAGAGAAAAATTTATCCATAGCAAGGAGAATGTGAAAATAAATACTAAATGTCAAACTGTTGTCAGATTTTTATTAGACTTTTCTTACTATGGGATAGCATGGTTCCAAACTAACATGGTTTGAACAACAGATTAAAAAATAGTAATTGCTATCTGTTTCTAACAAATGAACAGTGTCAAGTTAAAAATCTTTACTGATTATTTTTTTTCTCCTCCCCAGCCTTGTTTTGTAAGTAATAAAATTTTTACTTTGGGCTTTTCCCCCTACTTCTCTCATCTCAGGCATTCAGAATATATTTGTCAGCTTCACTTTCAGGATCTCCTGCTGCTGTATTATTTGGATTGCAATTATTGAAATTGAAAGTTATTTATTTTGGATATTTTTAAAATGTTTCCATTGTATTAAGCCTTTGCCACTGAAATAAAGTCTCAAAATAATTTCTCAGTCTTAAATTTCATAAAAGCTTTGTTTATGAAATCTAAATTTGGGGGCAAACAGCGTTCTTTCAGCCACTTTCCCAGAAAAGACTTTGGGAAATATTTTGGGACCATGGTGAACAGGAGTACCTAGTTCAGTGCTATGGCCAAAAGCACTAATGTGATCCTTGGGTGTAAATAGGGAAATCTTGAATAAAAGTAGACAGGTTATTCAATCTCTGTACTGTATTTGGCAGTGGTGTATCTGCTGCTGGTATATTGTGTCCAGTTCTGATGTCTACAATTCAAGAAGAACATTGATAAATTGGAGCTGTTTCAGAGAAGAGCCATAGGAAAGATTAGAGGCTTAGAAAACATACTATACAGTGATAGATACAAGCTCAATCTACTTAAAAAGGGCAGGTTAAAAGGTCCATTGATTACAGTCTAAGTACCAGCATGAGGAACAAATACAGGTGGTGCCTCCCAAAACTGGAATTCTCTGGTCCTGCTGGCCCATGGATGTTGCTGGACTACAGATGTTCTAGGATCGGAGAACCCTAGCCAACCTAGTGGCAGAGGACAATCCAGGAGGGGGCCAGGCTGAAGCAGCAGGATGGGACAGGCTCTGAGGCTGGCAGCAGCATCCAAGCAGTGGGGCTGGAGCCCACAGCAGGCTCTAACAGATGCGGCACTGGGACCAGGTTAGGGCAGCTTCCGGCACTGGGATGGGGTTGAGGCCAGGGCCAGAGCCTGTGGGCTGCCATGGGGCAGGAGCCTGCACTCTTGGCAGCCTGCGGTAGTGGGACCAGGACCGGAGCCAGAGCCCGCAAGCTGTTGCGGGGCTGGGACTAGAACCTAAGCCCTAGGCAGTCCCCAGCAGCCTGACCAGGGCCAGAGCCTGTGGCAGTGTGGGCTGTTGGAGCCTGGCAGGCAGTTTAACCAGGGCATTGGTGGTGGGGCCAGCAACCCAGCAGGCAGCCCAGCAAGGGCTGGAGGTATTCCCCTCGCTTCCCCTCCCCCGTTCAGCTGGCAGTCCAGTTGGGGCTGTGGCAGGGAACTTTCTCTAGTCTGACAAATTCCCTGGTTCAGGACCGGTCAGGTCCCAAGGGTGCCAGATAAGAGATGTCCAACCTATATTTGATAATGGGTTCTCCTGTTAGCCCTTGAGGCCTGTGCGACACACCTGGCATCTGCGTGTTGATCCACTTTGTCACTGTGGCCTCCATCAGTCAGTGGCACTTGCTGTCAACAAATGTCAGCTTGTTGATTGGATTTCATGGTGGCCTTCAGGCCTGTTACTGTGCTGACGAAGCTGCTGTTGGGTGGCTTAGCAAGGGCTGTAAAGGCTAGAATAAGAATCTAGCCCTTCAGTCTAGCATGACCCAATGGCTGGATGTTGACAGCAGACACGTTCAGACTGGAAATAAGCTACAGACTTTTAAAAGAGAAGGTAATTGATCGCTGGAACAATTTACTAAGGGTTGAGGTGATTTCCCATCACTGGCAATTTTTAAATCAAGATAGGTTACTGGGCCAAGACTCACCACTGTGGTGCCTTCTACTGGCTGTCCTGGGAATTAGCTCATTCTAACAGTATGCCTTCCTTGCCCGCCATCACTCCTGCTGTCCCCACCATTCTGGGACCCACATCACTCCCTGGACTGCAATGTCCTATTCTCAGCCCATAGCCACTCTCCTCATTGATAAATAGGGTGCAAAGAGTAGGGAGATGAGACCCACCTGCTAATCTGGATACCAAGCCAGGGACTTATAGCTAGCAGCCACCTGCTACCTTTCCTTCAACCTCTGGTACATGTTTCCCTGAGCTACTTTCCTATAGCCCCAGCACCTTCTTTTCCCCGGTATCAGGGCCTCAGTCTGGTAGCAGTCAAGCTAGAGCTCCTTTTTGCTCTCCTGAGCCTGCCCAACACTGCTTTAGCTAAGGTGCTTCTCTCTTCAGCCAGTCTTCTCCCTTGCACTCCAGGGAAAGACTGCCTTCTGCTCTGCTGAGCAGCTCCTCTTATATAGCCCTCCCTGGCCCTAATTGGCTGCTTCAGCAAGCCTCCTTCCTATTGGCTCTGTCAGTAAGCCCTCATCCTATTGCTTGAGGTTCTGCACAGTTTCTCTGAGAGCTGCTTTAATACCTCTGTTACCTAGGTGAGCAGTGGCCCCTACCACAGCTAGATTTATTTATTCTTTTAAAGATATGCTTTAATTAAAAAAGAAACCATTTTGAGCAAATTGTGACTTTTGCTGTGTGGTAAGTCAGACTAGAGGATCACAGCAGTCCATTTGCCCTTTGAAATTTATGAAACAGTTGTTTGGTTTTTTTCAGAGCTGTGAACTTTTTTTTTCCTCTCACCCACCGTTACTCCCTCTCGTTTTATATTCATTTGGCCCTTTCAGTTGTTGTTGTGGCATTGCCCGGCTAAAGCTTACTCCAGACCCTGTGAATGCTGCTCTACTAGTCTCTTTTTCCTTGTCCCCAGGTTAATCTTCTCCTTTAGATGTGGAGCTCCACTTTTCTTGTGGGTGCATCGTGTCTCTCTCTTCAGGTCCTTTACTCTACTGAAATACCATACTCCACTCTTATTTAAAATCATATTCTAAACTTCTAAATGTGTAACAGACCATGGTAACATTTATCTTCTGTTTTATGATATGAGTGGCATGCTGAGGAATGTTTTAATAACAGTATTCCTTTAATCTGTCTTCCAGGTTCTGGGATTTGAAGTTGATCCTGTGAATTCTGTCCAGTTTTCAAACCATACCGGTAAATACACATACACACACATGCATCTTGAAGTGCTGTTGTGAATCTGCTCTGGTGGAGTTAGAACTACCAAACTCTGTCTGCCTGATTACATGCTACTGGGAAGAAGCACAGTCATTCTGTGATCTGTCTTGAATGAAAAAGGAGGAGAACAGTGCTCAAAGCCTGAGCAAAGACCATTGAATTCAATAGGTTTTGGATAAGGGCCTGAATCTAAGGGCTAGTCTGAAATGAAAAGTTGCATCACCATAGCTACATCTCTCAAAGGGGTGAAAACTCTGAAGCCTTAAGTGATGTAGTTCAGTCAACTTAAATCCCTGTGCAGACAGTGCTGGGTTGATTGGAAGAATTCATCTGTCAGCCTAGCTATTGCTTCTGGGGGGAGGGGTGTGGAATTTAGAACAGCGATGGAAGAACCCCTCTTGTTGCTGTAATAAGTGGCTACACGGAAGCATTATAGTAGCACAATTGCAGGGCTTTAATTATAGGCATAGCCTAAATGTAATGCATTCCATTCTCTACTTAGTGGTGGCATGGGCTTTTTTTTTGTTAGCAAATTTAGAAATAAAACTGAATAAGGCAATATCATGCCAATATAAGACATTAGACAATGAAATAGAACACACAGAATGCATCACCAGTACAGGTTATCCGACCGTGGATGAATCTCTAGCAGTGGCACTTTTACAGTGAGTCATTTGCCTCTTGTTGCTAACCTCTAACATTCGAAATCCTGAGCCTATTTCTAAAAATTTAATAAATGTAAACAATACACGTTGACTCCTTGTTTGCTTTCTGGCTTGAGTGTCTTTTGGGTGCATTTCTGCCCCATTTTCAAACTTTTCTCTGCATCCATGAGGCCTAAAAACTTTTTAAAAATGAAAGTTGAGATTCTTGCATAGTCCAATGATTCTACTCAGTGGGGTTTGAAAAGAAACACTGGTATTGTGAGGCTTACTGGTTATGGTTAACCAGTGGGGGCTGGAGTAGCTTCCCTTCTGCTGTGGGCAAGAGGTTGCTCCAGCTCCAAGGGGCTCATGGAGGCACGCCAACTTACCTGGATCAGCCCCTATCTTATGACAGGGTGGCCATTCCAGCGTGTCCATGGCAGGTGGAGGACTGGGCTGGAGCACCCCTTAACGTTTAATTAGTTAATTAAACTAGACTTTACATTCTTATTCTCAATTAATTGCAACTGAAATTCCAAGAGCAAGCTCTGAAATGTGCCTTGCTCATTTAATTTAGACCCTGCTCTCATTGATTTCAGGAAGGATAATATAGATTGCTATAACCAGAAAGCACCGAGTGAAATCCTGGTGCATTAGTCCTTAGGAGTTTTGCTTTAGACTTCAGTGGAGCCAAGAGTTCACTCTTTAGTACGAGGTCAGGATGGTGAAAGACTGTCCCAAGGGACATTTAGGAAGTCAAAATATATCGGGAAGCTGTGGAAGGAGTAATAACTAAACATGAAGAACATTTCTTTCACATACAGCTCTCCCTGACCAAAAGCTGCTTAGTTGCCTGGTTGCCTTTGACCAGTATCAGGATGCTCTTGCACCACTAGAGTCTAAAAGCTGTGGAGCTGATTTTAGTTTTTCACATTTTGTGGTGCAATCAAATTTTTCAGTATTTTGATAACTTGATACAATTATTGTAAGCTCTAGAAATGTAGGTAGTCTCAGTTTTGCTTACAGAAGCTAACTAGATGTTTATAACTGATGAAGATTCTAACCAGGGTTTTTTTTACTGCTTTTGTTTCAAAAATAAATTAATGTTATGAAGAATTAAAAAGAATCAGATTTAACTTAGCCCAGAAAGTTAAAGGGAAGCTGTTCTGAGGCCAAGCAAATTAATACCGATAGGATGATCAGATTCTTTAAATGAAAGCAAGGATACCATTTTTAATAGTGTCGCCGAGCGATTTGGAAAGGTTTGCCAACTGGGAGAGGGGTTATGATGAAAGGGTTTGCCAGGAAGGAGATTTGACAGCTATTGGTGATGGTGGAAGGAGCAACGAATTAGTGATCCTTTTTGTTAACGGAACAAGGTACTGCCCACCCTGAGTTCAGAAATTATGAGAGTGCCTTTAAAATCATGAGATTATTTAAAAAAAAACCCTTCAGTTCTTTTAATTTGCTTTCTTTTGTTTCAGACATGCTGGCAAGCATGTGTGTGTATGCAAACACAGATAACCAAATGCACAGTCTTTGTTGTGGAGAAGGCATCACTAATTGCTGAGTTAATTTACTATGTGTGTATTGTAGCAGTTTCCCAGAGTCAGATGTTGCAGGGAATGAAGTGAGGATCAGTGTTGCCTTCTCTTATGAGAGTTCATTCAGCTGCACTGTTGTGAGAGAAACAAATGGCTGAACTTCTGTTAAAGAGCTGACTTTCAGCTGCTTTTGTGACACTGTAAGGAAGAGCTACATCCTGGAGGGGACAGATAACACTGTGTGTGGGTGTCACTTTTTATTTTTATTTATTTATAGAATATGGAGAAAAAAGTCCACTATGACATTTTGGACCCTGTGTTCTTTTAATGTCTTTCACTCTTCTCTCCCCCCCCCCCCCCCCCAAACTTTTTTCAAGCTTGTTCTTTTTAGTTCTCCTTGTATTTTTATCATCTATCATTTTTATCAACTAATAGGTCTGCTCTTCTGAATCATCCTTGCTATTTTTGTTCTCATTTTTAGTCAATAAAGCAAAAGACTATCATTATTGACTGCTGCTCAGAAAATTCAGCTTTTTTCTACTCTGGTGATCCTGAAATATGAGGCAGTGTTTTTAATCAAAAATCCCAGAGAGCACAGTTTGCCATGTTGCCTGGTGAGGAGTATTTACTGTACAGTTTCAGTAAGTGACTCACCTCCAGGTGACATTGTGCTTCATGCACACACATATTAAACTGTCACACGGCTTACAGAGATGCTGTCCTCCTCCCCCCACGCCCAATTGTTTGGTGTAGCAACCTGCTCCCTGTGTACTAGTGCAAATCTAATCTGGAGGGCTTTAGCGCATATTTTTTAAATCCATGTATGCTGGTTTCCTTTCTAACCGTGACTGGCAGAATGTGTATATAACATGCGTTTTTTATTTTGGGTTTTTTGTTTGTTGTAACTGAGTCCCATGCCTGAAGCTGTTTAAGGAACAGATATAGTCTGTTTAAGGAACGTTTGATTTCCACAGACAAGGAACCAGACCCTGTGATTTTGTTGGTAGCCCTGATCTGAGATTATTTATAACAGTGCCTTGCCCATCTTTTTCTCCCGTGTCACAGCTTCCTTCCATGTGTTCAGTTACAGACTGAGAAACTTAGTGCCAGAGTTTTGGGCCATGTCTAGCCAGTGTGGCAATCCAAGGTGGGAGGTGCCACAGTATCCCATGTGAACACTATGATAGTGCACTGCAAGCTCTAGTGTGTAGCTTTGCATCCTACTGTTTGAAAGTGCAGTCACTAAACCACACTACAGTGGATGTTGTTGTGTGGCTAGTAGGTGTAACCTGACTTGTTGCACAATAACTCATGTCTCATAAAAACAACATTTTCTTTCCTCCTTAAAGGCTTTTAAAGGATTCTTGCTTTCACTAAGGCCACTCAGTATAATTTTAAGGAGCATTAAAGGAAAAGCTCAGGCTTCAGAATAAGGTATATGGAGTTGGGAATAGATGGGGAGAAACAAAAAACAGGAGAGACTCGCATACCTCTTTGTGATAAATTTATTTTTATAGCTGACCTTTTTTCCCCTGAAAAATTTTGGTTCCCCCAGGGAGGTTGGGAAGTCATTTGATTTGGTTTGAGTTGTAATGCAATTCCCAAGTTTTATAAATATGTTTTTAAAGAAGGAAAAGTGTGGTGGATGGATAAGTCCAGAAGAAAACATGCAAAAGCTACATGGGCATAGCCCCCTTTTAATGTAGATGGATTAGCCTGGTCCCTTCTTTGCAGAAGCATAACTTTACCCATGGAGGGTGTGGACAGTTGAAGGGCAAGAAACATTGCATGCCAGGATAAGTCTGCAGCTTAAAAGTAAATCTGGGAAATAAGGAATTTCAAAAATAAATTCCAGCTTGATGAAAGGAAAGGCTATTAAAAGCACTTTACTTTTATATTTAAGAAAATCCCTCAAACTGAGAGAAACTTACACCATTGGCTTGAACCAGATACCACTTGGAGACACATATTGCAAACTTTCCCAAACAGCCCTGCAAATATTCCTTGACTTTCATTGGTCTGCTATTCCAGACCTGGATCTGAATTCATCAGAGACTTCTAATTAAGCACAATTAGATGGTTTTGTAACGTTAACATGGAAAATTAGGATGAGAGGGCTCATGTTTTCTTTTCCAGAGAATGTGAGCCAGGCCTTGAACTTGGCTTCCAAAGTTATAAGGTTAGTACACTGACCCAATACCCCCTGATGTTCTCAGCATAGTGCAGCCCACCCTAATGTTGTATAATCATTTTTGTCAGTACAAATAGTTTATCTAAGATTTCTTGGCTCCCTTTTTATATAATGTGAATAAATACTCAAGTAATGTGCAGCTTTGTATTGTTTTATTGCCTAGTGCCAAAATATAAATATTATTTCATGTTAAGACTCTGCGGTGTGCGTGGATGAACTATGCCATGTACACAAATGGTTCTGCTTTCTTTTACAGTTCAGCAAATAGTCAATATATTTAATGAAATAATAATGAGGTAATTATTGCCATGAGTTGATTATCCCTTAGACCTTATGAGGCATGAAATCTAATTCCAAATCTGTCTTCAGTTACCCTTGAGTGAGAGGGCCTTCTGGCTAATGAAGGGACAACCTGATTGGCACACATCAAAAACAAAAAAGGACCAAAAAAAATTTACTTTACCTAGGAATGACAGCAGATTAGTAATCCTCAGAATAATTTGCTTAGCTCTTCTACTTTTCATTGCTTTACTGGCTTGAAGCACCAGGTCTGTCGAAAGCATGCATATAATGCAAATTGCCTCTACTGTCAGTCCAAAAGAGATATGAGAGCATTTGCTTGGTGAACTAGAGGAATTGACATCCAATCCTGAATGAGGCTGATGAGACACGTGGTGTTAATCGCTTTTCTTTCAGCAACTTTTTACAACTAGCTCCTTAGTCCTGACTATACCATACACCCATTTTATGCCCATTTGACAGCTTCCCTTTGAATTGACATATTAAAACCACCTTGAATGTTGAGTCACAGAATCACCTTAAGCAGATTTTGTGCTCAGGGTGGTGGTAGCACAACTTCCTTCTGTGAAGCTCTGAATTTTCCAAATGGGCACGATATGCAGTGCACTAAACACAGGGCTGACTGAAGAATTGCACTAAAGTCATCTCTAGACTGCATTAGGGATAATAGGCCTTGTCTAAAAATGTGACTAGCGTGTACAGAGTTTAACACCTCTAAAGTGAGTGAGTGAATTGTGGGCAAACCTAGGTTTCCCTGCCTCCCATCAGCAGCACATTAATTCCTGGAGAAGTGGAAACTGTGTAATGGGATGGCTTGCCCCATAGGCTGGAAAGTCTGAGACTGTCCTGGTCTTGATTAAAGGATGAGCCACTCCTGTATTGAATCAGCTGTTTTAATATAAAAGGCCAGAGCAGACTGCAGCATGTGGCTGATGGAGAACATAACTGAGGTGCCAGAGGCAGGAAGCCTGACAAAAGCAAGAGAAAGCTACGCAGGCAGAGAGGCCTGGGAGACACAGACAGATGCTCAGGAAAGAGGGGGCTGTGCCCAGCTGTGCCCATCTAAACTAAGTCAGTTGGTGTTTAGTTTCTCAAAAGCTCTGTGTTCTTTTGGACTATGGGGTGAGAGACTGGAGGAATAGTATGTATCAGAAGAGTAAATAAATGGCATCTCATGTCTATGTTGTTTTGAATTTCTTTTGCACTGGATGAATTCTTAAAGGGGCCATG